TAACATATTGTATATATATATATATATATATATATATATAAACGGGTGTCTGTATTCAACTACTATATATAAACGATGTCACTGGAAGACTTCTGCTTTAGTTCCTCTTCTTTGCGCTGAGTATTTTCCCCGTGGATGTCACGTGGCAGTGGGTTTTATGATTAAGTCGGTGCACTCGAGAGTCTGACAGCAGTCCAGCGACCACGACTCACACAAAAGAGCAGACGGGACGCAAGCAGACGGCTTCATCACTACAGAACGCCGTTTTCTCAGCCCGTGTTCATTTAAGATTTCTCAGTTTAAAGTTATTTTTCCTGAGAGCTTAGCGCGAGCTAACCGATCACCCACGACGACGTGCTTGCAATCCAGTCAGAAAATCACTTCTTATGCACCAGGACACTTTATACGTGGTCGATATGAGCAAAGTGTCTGATGTTGCTCACAGTCTGCTCGTATCTGAGTGTTTAAAACACTAAACATGTCTGAAATGTCCTACCTCAGCCGATCTCCCCTCCTCACTGATGATGAGCCACATCTGACCCGCGCGCGTGCGTGTCATACAGATTTCGACTGGGAAACTCCTTCCCTTTTCAGAAAAAAAGGTTCAACAGGCTTTTATTTACGCTGTATGCATGGATGCACACGTCAAAAGAGATGCACGTATCAAATGCATGAATCTAACCCAATTTCGAATCATTTCCGAAAGCTAACCTTTTATTTTACTTTTGCAACCTTTTATATTACTGATTATATTACTTCTATATTACTGAAACGATAAAAGCGCAATGACAAGATTTAATAGCAAGGAGCATGATGCTTAAAATTTCGCATCAGAATTCGGTAGACGTTATATACAAACAACTATAAACAACTAACTTTAATTTATGAGAACCCTTTATTTTTCACACAAACTGTAGTGTAAAATTGTAATGTTGCAAACCCCATAAGAAATTAATAGAAAATAAAATGTCTAGTATAAAATTAAGTTTCACTTCCTAGGTTGATATTTCTAAATATTAAGCACCTCTTTCACTAACCATTTGTTGGAGAAGAGAAAAAAAAATCTTATTTTATTATTATATTTTACTTATTTTAGTTGCATGCCTTTTGTTCCAAACATGGCCAAATATGACATCTGCCGGCCAATAACACTTATTGCATCCCAAAAATGAAACAAAACCCACAGCAAAAGAAATTAGCTCTTTTTTTTTGTAGACAAACGATAATTGTGTTTCGTTAAGTGACCGTCTGAAATTAACGCTTCAGTAAATGTTTATGAACTCCAATGGGTAGAGACGCGCCTGCTCCTTTAAATACTTCCGGGCGAGCTGTGATTGACAGTCCTTAAGGGGCGTTTCCAGCTGTCGGTCATCCAATCAGCGTCGAGCAAACAGTCTAGACGGAACAGAACCCGTGACGTATACGGTCACCATTCTACTGTGCGGGCAATCAATAAACACCTTCTGCAAAGTGACAACAAACCCATATATCCAGCATTTTTGAGGATATTAAATACAGTTATGGACTCCACAGCGGTAAGCGATTATGGTTAATCGGAATCGGCCATAATGTTTTTATAAAGCTTATTGCATTGCTATATTAGCTTGCCGACATGGATAAAACATGATAAACTGTGACAAGTGCATTAAGTTTCTATAGTCCAGCATAATGCACAACCTTTTATTATTGTCTCGTGAAGCTTTTAGTTATACAGTCATTGTTACTGTAACTCTTTAAGATAACAAGGAAATGTACAGTAGGCCTAAGTCAGAAGGAAAGCCCCTTGATACCTTCATTGCAAACAATATGAGTGATTTTACATGCATGTTCATTGCGGTCTCAAATATATATAAAATGATATCAGATGCAATCAAATAATATAAACGATTCACCTTTTAAGTGTTTTGAGTGTTCTTCAGACAGTTAAAACTGAATTGACTTGGCCTACTTGCACTGGGCAACATGGTTAGATTGAAATAAAAATAATAAGGAAATTAATCATAAGTAAATGTGAACCTGGACCACAAAACCAGTCATAAGTAGCACGGGTATATTTGTAGCAATAGCCAAAAATACATTGAATGGGTCAAAATGATTGATTTTTCTTTTATGCCAAAAATCATTAGGATATTAACTAAAGATCATGTTCCATGAAGATATTTTGTAAATTTCCTACTGTAAATATATTAAAACTTAATGTTTGATTAGTAATATGCATTACTAAGAACTTCATTTGGACAACTTTAAAGGCGGTTTTCTCAACATTTTGATTTTTTTGCACCCTCAGATTCCAGATTTTCAAATAGTTGTATCTCAGCTAAATATTGTCCTATCCTAACAAACCATACATCAATGGAAAGCTTATTTATTCAGCTTCCAGATGATGTATAAATCTCAGTTTTGAAAAAATGACCCTTATGACTGGTTTTGTGGTCCAGGGTCACAAATGTGAACTAATGCATGCTCTTATTGTTCAAGGGATAGCAGCTTTTGTAACCTAAATCAAATGGAAATACTACTTTTATACAAATATTGCACTTGTATCAAATATGGCACTATTGCTATCCCACAAGAGTTCATAAACAGAAAAACAAACCAAACTGTATCAAGGTAAAGTCCACTGTGATATAATGTGAAATCTGTGGTGACAGCATTAGTACAGTGTGCATGCTATGATGATGTGAAGTGTTGATGTTTGTTCTGAGGATGTGTTGTCACCTTTACATGTTAAAAGGACTTTATTTTTCAGCCTTTTATTTGCGCTGATTCCATGTGCATATTTTACTTAGATGAATAAAATACACACATTTATTTAATGCATTTTAAGTTTCTCTGGATAAAGGCATCAGCCAAATGCCTAAATGTAAATGACTACATTAAAGCAGACTGCTGGGTTGAAACATTCTACCCTTATGAAGAAGTACTGTAGTGATGCCATGATACTGTATGCAATACCATGGTACTTTGATATGTACATAGATACAGTACATACATACTTTAAGTGTGTACATTTGGATTGTACATAACACATACAGTACTATGCATATTCAGTACACCTACTCTTTATTATTACTGGGTTTTATAATGATAGTAAAGTCATTAAAACATTGAAATAACACAAATGGAAGTACAATCTTATGAAAAGTAATTTTTATATTAAATATATGTATATATATATAGTATCTCACAGAAGTGAGTACACCCCTCACATTTTTGTAAATATTTTATTATATCTTTTCATGTGATAATTATATAAAAATAATAACTATATGTATAGTATTTATATAGAGAATTATATATATATATAGAATTGTTGTTGTTGTTATTATTATTAAATTCATCCATTTAAATTTATTTTTAGTTAAAAAAATCTGAAATTACACTAATGGAAGTATGGAAATATCATCACCAAAAATGTGAAATCAAATGATCTCATTCAAGCAAAGTCTCCTTTCTTTGGACTCAATTTGTGTTTGTCTACAAAGCCAATTTTAAGCATTTAAACAACGAGTCTTAAGAGGTTTTTAAGATGATGAGAAACAAATTTAAGTGTGTCAAAACCTTTGAGTAGTACACGTGGTACTAAATGTTTTGGTATGCCACAGAATACCTTTGCGTTGGAGCTCAGATTGTGGTGTTTTCTAGACCATAGGGGGGTTCATCAGCACCCTCACTGAGATGGGCTTCAGTGAGGATCAGATACAGGCGGCGACACAGGCCGGATTCTTCTCTGTACCAGAAGCGGCTGAATGGTAAATGTTTTTATGGATGAAAATAATAAAATAAGCTTTATAAATTATCCTTGACTTTTTCCCAAGAGAAAAAAAGTGTGACCAGTTATGTAAAAGCGCAGGCTAGTCATAGACCTGTCTGGTTATATTCAATGGCTTTAGGGAATATTTAAAGTGTTATTAGACAGCATTGTGATTGTTTATTAAGCATCAGCCCTCTCGTTATTCTCACATTTGCTCTGAAGGCTTTTGCAGGGTGGGAGTCCACGGCATAAACTAGTCAAGCAGCCTTCAGGTCCTTTAGAGACGGCGTTTTCTGCATTCAACCCTCCCAAAGATGCTCTCTGCGCTAACAACAACTCACAGTCTGAAGCAACAGGTACAAACAGCACAGTTTGTTCATTTACTCATTTGCATGACACAAACAGACTTCTTTCACAAGAGTGTTCATTCTTCTGGGAAGGAAAATGTGATTTACTGTACAAATAAACTAGCATGTGACTCACAGGTCATGTGTGCTGCAGATCATTAGCAGAATGTTAATACTGGAATCTGAAGTGTTATGCAATACAGAAGAATTTTCTGCTTTTAGGTCCTTCATTGGTCTTGGCACCTCCTTCTGTGAACGCTCCCACGGCAAAAGAGCATCCACCCCTGGAAACACGGATCAAGCAGGATAAGAGTAATTTCCACGAGCAGCAGAGGCAGCGAGTGGCTCAAGAGGCGTGGGCAGAAAGGAGACAGAAGAAGCAGGTGAATCAGTGAAAGGGTTCATGTTCTTACAATAAAGCTCCATAAGCAAGGGTTGCTTCACTCAAAAATGAATCTACTCACGCCCATGTCATTTCATGATTTCTTCTGTGGAACACAAAATCTGTTCTTTTAAATACAACCAAATTGATGACCAATAGCTGTTTAAAAAGGTTGGTTAAAATATTATTAATTATTTTAAAATAAAATAAAAAACATTTTTTTCTTTTTTGTGCTATTAAAAGACAATATACTATATATATAGAGAGAGGAAAAATACTTTAAAATATAATTAATGAATGTGATAGCTCTCTCTCTCTCATATATATATATATATATATATATATATATATATATTAGAGCTGCACGATAAATAGCA